AAAAAAAACTGAAATTGTGTTTGGTGGGTTAATTTTTAAAAACATGTAATAGTATTTAAAATAATAATACATTAAATAAATAATAATTGAATCCCAAATAAAAATACTAATAATTAATATAATAATTTAAATTACATTACAAATAAATAGTAAATAATTTAAAATAAGATAACTTAGTGGATGATTAGTAAAAAAAAAGTTGACTTAGTGAATAATCTTATCTCATATTACTGCCGTATATACGAATCCCACATTTGATCAGCTAGATGATCCCTAAAACTAACCATGTGATTACGTTGTCGCCGACTACCGATTTTGGATATTTCTACTTCTTGTGTGTCCATACCTTATTGTTGTCCTTGTTGCTCTTCTTGTTCTCCCTTGATATATTCTAATTACCCCTTGGTTTTTTTTTTTTTTTTTTTTTTTTTTTTTTTTTTTTTAAAGAAAAATGCCACACTAGGGTAGTTATCACTATCAATTATCAAGCCTTTCAAAATGTTTGTTGATTCCATTACTTCCGTGCAGACAAGTGTTAATTCAAGTAAATCTATTTGGTAACTGTAATGTTCAACTTTTTAAGAAAACATTATATACATAAAAACTAGTGTGTTATGCTGCTACTAAGGAAATTTAGGGTGCGTTTCGGAACCTCTGGAATTTTCCAATTTAGAGACATCGTTCTCCTCCTCTCGATCTCCTCTCGATCGACAATTCGGTCCACTGATTTGAAATTGACGTCGGACCTGACCACCTCCGAAACCTTAAGTCCGACGACCAGATCAGAGAATCCGAGCTTCAACCCCAATTAGGAGAAGAGGACGATGCTGGCATTGACGGAGAGGCGGCGATTGGAGCCGAAGAGGCTGAGATCATCGTCGTCGTCATCGCCAGAGAAGAAGTCGTCGTTCAGAGTTCCGACTCTGGTGAGGTGGAGGAAGGGGCGGCGGCGGGGTCGGATGAGGATGATTGGGGGCGGATGTGGTGGTGGTTAGGGGCAGCGAGGTCGAGGCGGGAGAGGAGGGGGAAAATGAAAATGGGAAAGGAAAACGATTATAGATCGTTTTCAGATTTTGATGATTTTTTTTAAAACAATTAGAAAACGTTTTCAATTTTGCTTTTCAAGAAATGCGGTGCCAAACAATAATCTCAGAGTATTTTTATTTTTTGGTTCTTGAAAAACATGAAAATCGTTTTTGAAAATGCTTCCAAACAGGCGCTAGAGTTCTGATTCTTGATCATGATTTTTAAAATTATAATTTTCAATTAAAAAAATACTAAAACAGAGCTAAAACAATAAATCTGTTGTGTACCCATATACCAAATATACAATTCGTATCCAGATATATAATCGTAGGTTAAGCCAAGAAACACAAATCCTTGAACATTTCATCAATCAACCTCACACGTCCCACACTTTTTTCTCTGTTGATTTTTCCATAACTTTTCGAGCACGTTTTCGTAGTCGACTGGCCCGGTGGCACGTAATTTTCTGGCGAACCAATTTGCACTTTCGTAATGGTGGAAACTACATTCATTTTTCAGTCATCATTGTGATAGGTTTAATTGGCTACAAACAAGCGTTAATAATTTATATTTTAAGTTGGCACAGTCCTTTTCCATGTCGCTTTTCCAAAACGTAGGGACCTCATAAACGGGATCATTCTACCTTAAAGATTAACAGCAGCGACTCTGAAGAACTTTGAAGAGATCTCTCATGTTTTTAGAAGTAAATACCGTACAACATTTTTATTTTAAGATGTATTGTGCGGTCTGTTTATTTTTTCCTTTTTTTCTACTCATTTAGTGGGTGTTAAAATGATCTGAATTACTATAATCGAATTGACTTGTTTTAACGACACAAATTTTAATGGATCAGATTGATTTCACATTATCAGGTGACTAAAAAACACCGAAACAGGTTGCATTACACAGCTTAAAAATGGATTTAACACCATTTTGTTCTATACTTTTGGGTTACACGTTCCCCGCACACAAAAGTACCCAATATGGATTGTGGTTTCTGTCCTCGTTTCCTGCAATATTGGAAATCAATGCCTGTTGTTTCACTTGTAATTGAGAAATATACGCTAATTAGTCCATGTGTTTTGAAGCTTAGAGTCGACATAATGACATGTTGCTTTCACCTAATCAAGAAGTTATGAAGACGCGTCTCTATAAAGCTAAGACAACATTTCCAAATTGTCAATTATGTTTGGCAAGTGGTTAGATTTTGGGCTACATAATAGAATCATAAAGGTATGTATGGTTTAACTTTTAGGGGCTGTCTATAAGTAATTAACTGGGTGTGAATTATTAGTGTGTATTTTGGGGAACAATTTACTACAAAGTATAGACTTTATAATAGGTGAATAGAATATCACTAAGATGGGAAAGGCGTGTGCATATATTTACTACTCGACAACATAATTAGCTAATCTCATCGTTGTTTTATGCTGTCAGTGGTACTACACTTCATTAGTGCACAAGCAAACTGTAGGTGAAGCCAAACTTTTGGACTTTTGCACTCTATTGCTTCACGGCGATGCGTTAAAAAAGGGCAGAAAATGTGCCGTTTAATAGTTTGATCGTGCTCATGAATATAGCATGAATTAAATGGGTACGTAAAGTGGCCATATACGTAAAAAAACTGAGCTTGTTTTTCCTTTGGTAGAAAAGAAATATGTGGAGTGGTGATCCACCGTAGCTATCCCTTTTGACTTGGCCATAGAGGCCCCTACATACTAATTGTAATTGATATCCGTACCGAGTCTTAACTACTATTTATGTCAAGAGACAAAAGCACGTTATCTTACTTTCAGACTACTAATGAAAATTGAGCCGGTAACTTAAAAAATAGTCTCAAACACTTTTGATGTGCCTCGAACTTACTTGAAACCTCGCATCTACTAAAACCACTCGAGAGTAAGCCCCATGCATATAAACTACCACTGTTGGGCGTGGGACTAGTACTTAAACCCTCTGTGGTTACAGTCATAGTTGGCTCGTAAATGTAGATAGTTTGAAGTAATAAGATGGTCTGTAATTGCACTTCTGACCCACGGAGTTATTGAGAACAAGAAGCCTTGAATTTCAAGCCAAACTTATTCTTTGATATAATCAGATGAGGCAGAAATCTATAAAAATCGCGTGAGAAGGTATGTATTAATCTGGTTATTGCTGAGAGTCCATAGAATGTCTTGAATCATGACAAAAACGAATACAAAATTGAGCACTTTGACTATTTCTTTACAGGTGGAACTTTAGATTAGTTTATACAACATTGACAAAAATAAAACAACATTAATCTTTCACTATCTCCTTGATTGAATTTGAATGGAGGCCTTTCCGCTAACTCCTGATAACTGCTTTAAGTTAGTAAGAGCATCCTGAGCATGCCTCTTCGTGTTCGGATTACCACGTCTAAAGGCTTCGACCAACGCCCTCACTAGAGCTTGATTCAGTGAGAGCGGTTGATTATGGTTTTCCACTCTCAATATCCTCTCTATTATCCAAATTGTCTTTTCCTGAAGTTCATCGGATCGAGCTTCTATGAAAAGATCAATCACGCCATTGATGACACCTAATCGTTCAAGCTCATCTGCTGCTCTCTTAAAACTGCTAGAAGTATCCATCACAAGTGTTGATAGTGCTTCTATCGCAGCAATTTGAACAACTGTGTCCTCGTCTGTGAGAAGCTCAACTAGGGGCTTGATACAGTTGCTCTTTAGCAAGCACCACTGACTCTCTTCCTCACATGGAATGGAGTGAATTGGGCACATGGAAGGTTGGGAAGAAGCCCTTCCACACATGAAGACCAAGGAAGAGCAGAATCCTTGAGGAGGCTGTGGTTCAGAGTCCCGAGCAGCAAGTTGCCTTCCACACTCAGACAAGTTTTTCAATCCCACAGCAGCTAGTTGTTTCACTCTTGGTTTTGATGGATAACAAAGCTGCTCACAGAAAATTGTCATAAGTGAATTCTCTCTAACCGTTTGAAGAGTTAGCAGATCAATGCTCCTTGTAAAGTGGAGCAAAATACCAAGAAGACCTTCCAGCATGCTTGCTGCATGCTCTGTGACCCTGCCCTTGGAGTTGCGACACTGAGTTTCAAGAGTATTAACTGCCCATCTTACAAAATCAGCTCCTAGGAGTACTTTCACTTCATCTTCAGAAAGGGACAGGTTAGCAAGTATACGTGCAGCATCAGATCTCTCGCCACCTTTATATTGGTTATCTAATAATCTGTCTCTAAACAAGGTAAGCTTGTTAGAAGCTCTTAGATCGTGAACTAGATCTTGACCAAACCTTTCTGAAAGTACTCTGGAAAGCCTGAATGCATATTTTCTGTTCTCAACTTCTGGGTGCTCAAGAAAAGATAAAATAGTTCCAACACCTCCGCCAGATTTGATATGAGAAGCTACAGGTTCTGTAACAAAAAAAAAAAAAAAAAAAAGACAATGATGTTATTATATTATATTTTTCTGGATGCAAATTTATAGGCATTTTCCCTTTGCATAAATGATAAAGTTGAGAAATGAAATTGAGATACATTTCTCTGCAGTTACTTTGATCTGCAATGGCTTCCATTAATTTAGATCTACTTTACATGTAAACTACTGGCCTATAGGTAAATATATTTGATGAAGAGTGAGACTTTAGCATCGCAACAATATGATGCAGTAGCTGAACTAGCATCACTTGCATAGTCACATGAATAATGCTAGACTACTAAACAACACGGGATTACCTGACGCCTGGGGGGAGGATGCAATTCCACATAGGATTTGGAGAATAGATGCTTGATATCTAGAAGAGACTTCCAGTAAAAGTGCTAGAAGACTATATACAATTGATTCTGACTGCATAGAATGCCCTTCCTTGTCAGCAGATGCTAATTCCCAGTGTCCTGGATTTGATACTATATTTGCCATTATTAATGCAGCCAATTCCTTTGATTCAGATGATGTATCCTGATTTCGAGAAAGGATATCTGTAAGAGCTGGAAGGACATTTGAATCAACGAGGATGGTTGCATTGTCATCTAAACTTGACAAGTTATGCAGCGCCTGCAAGCTTGATGCCTGCGCTGCTGGCTTGGATAGCATCTCAACTAGCATTTTAGCACCTTGCCTAGCAAGTTGTTCCTTTCCATTATTTGTCAAGGTCATTTTTCCGACAATAGATGCCATTTCTATTTTGATATCATCAGAACCTGTTGCCAAAAATTAATATGTAACTGCAAAATCTCATCTAATTATTAACAAAAAAGGTGATTTATTTCATGGGTTCTCCTATTTACTCATTAGTATTCTATCAATCAAAAAAAAAAAAAAAAAGAAAGAAAAGAAAAGAAAAGAAAAAACCGTCCTTGCTGATTTGTACTCTTATTAACCTGTAGTCACCACAATATGAAACATTCAGGATGATGGAGGCAAAACCCAGCACACAGCGTACCTTCACAAAGACGGTTAAGCAAGGGCTCAAATCTCCCTGCTGCAGCTAAATGCATAATATTATCTTCTGCCTTCTCCATCCGCTTTAAAACCTGCTCTGCTAGATTGGATAAAGCAGGATGCTCTAGGTTTCCTGACATACTTGAGAGAAGAAGCAATGCGCCTTTTTCAGATGCAATTTTGATGCAACACGCTTCATCACTACCAAACTCAAGTAATAACTTCACTGCACACTCTCTCTCTTTCTCTGAGCTAGCCATGAGACTATGTATAGCCAACTTAGTGGTGCCATCTTCAAGCATGATTCTCTAGAAACGTCCAAGATATTCCATCAGAAATTACTACTCTAACAATATCCTAAGGAGAAACAACAATAAGAAGGATGACTAGATTTCAAGACATTTCTCAAGAGGTTAAAAAAAAAGCGGTCTAATCCTATTAATCAGGGAGAAACTATAAGAAAAGGTAAAACTTGATGATCATAAGAGAAAAAAGACTAGACTTTAAGACAGCCCACCTTGCTTTCTTCATCCTTGGCCATGCTAAGCAGAGCCAACAGGCATTTGCTGCGCAAGTTCGTCCCAATGCTCTTGGAACTATTCCTCAGCAGCTTCACGATCAGCTCAACAATACCTGCATTGCGAAATTTGTATCTGCTCACAGGATGCTCCTCCGAAATCTTGTAAACATTATCCAACACTCTCTCCACAAAATCCACCGAAGGTGGCTCCTCGCCGAGATTCTGCACCGCGATTTTCACTTGAATTTCGACGTTCCTGTTGAGCCACTCCTCTATTGCCCCCGCCAACCCGATGTTCGGCTTCAGCTCCAACGTCCCGAGCACCTGCCCGGTGACCGGACACGTGGGGTCTCGGCCATCCTCCAGGCACCGCTCGAACCAGTACTCAATGGCGGCTCGCTCGTACGTCTGCGAAGACTCCAACACCACGGGCTCCTTCATCACCTCCTTCGTCAGGGGACAGATGAAGTTCTTGAACGGCGAGATGTGAGCGTCGTCCTCGAATTCGATGTCCAGTTTCCAGGTTGCGACGGTCGGCTCCGTCGACCAATTCTCCATGATTCGCTCCAGCGACGAGAGAATCCGCCTCTCGGAGACCGACCTCGACTGAGCGACGTCGTTTTTGAGCAGCTTGATCTGTTCGGACAGAACGGCGTGGTTCTCAGGGTCGACGCCTAGGGCACGAGCTAAATCCATGACGATCGCGCTCTCGACGGCCTTGCTCGTCTTCGTTTGCCTTCGCTGTCCCTCTTTCTGCAACGTACAGTGCACTCTTTCTTCGTTCTCTGTAACCTGAAATCAAATCCAAATCCAATTCAAATTGTTCAGAACAAGAACAAATTCGTGAAGTGCAAAATTACATACATAAAGTGAAGTACTTTGAAGTTAGCTTGCTTCATGTCCGTGGAGAGATCGGCGATCTTCTTGCGAAGGTCTGGAAGGTCGGGAATGGCGGAATCGAGCAAGTTGAGCCATCTGGAGATGGCCAGGGTTCGCTCCTGGATTGACGCGCATAGAGAAACGCAGTTGACGAGCACCAAGGTCTTGCTTTTCGTACGGTAAAACCTAACCATCTCGCCGGCGCTGGCGAGGTCACCTGCGATGCCTCTGAGAGCGGTGTGGACGGAGGGAGGGAAGTCGGAATAGTCCGGAGACCGCGAGGACCGGAGGAGATGGTTGGTGGCGAGCTGGAGGCGGTGGGCAAAGCCGGAGAAGCGGCGTGTGACGTTGGAGGAGTAAGATTGCTGGTTGTTGTCATTGTCCGAGCAGAGATAGGAGAGAGAGGTTTGGACGGAGTCGACGGCGGCGGAGAAGGAAGGGAAGGATGATTCCGACGTCATTTTCCGGCGACTGGTTGACGGCAGCGATTGCAGAGGCGGATCGGCATGTGGAAATGGGTTTGTCTGATTGGGGAATGTTTTAAGGGTCGGTAACGGTGTTGCTTCCATATAGTTTCTGGTTTACCAACGAACTCGAATGTTCTTCTTTCTTCTGGTCTGAACTGGACGAGAGAGGGTCAACTCTTTGACTTCAGCAATATTTTCCTTTTTGTTTAATATTCTTTTTTTTTAATGATCCATAAAATAAATTTCTTTTATTTTTGGTCATTACGCTGGCATATGATCCACTTGGCTTCGATTATTTCAAATCCAGATGGATTAATTTACCCCAGTTTCCAAGAATCTTTCTTCTTTTGAAAGACAATTTTGTTGTTTATGAATATCAAATATATTTTCAGAATATTTCTTTTCTTTCTTTGGTTAACCTTGTTTTAGAAAATAAAAACACTGTTTAGAAGATATGTATGTGAAACATGCTGTCTTTGGGGTGCGCGAAAGACAATTTTGTCGTATGCTCACTTACTTTGATATATTTTTTTTCTTTCTTTTTTACTACAAATTTATATCAATGTAAATAATTAAATAAAATTAAAATAATTTCTTTTTTCATGCTTATAATTTAATTCTTGTGTTATGCCTATTACTTTTTATTTTTCAATCTATTTTTATTTTCTAAATATAATGCTAAATCTAATTTTATATATTGATAATGTAAAGTAATCACGTCTCAACTTTTAACACGAAAGAAGAGAGTAATTAACAAAATCTAATTACTAATTAGTTATCCTAATTTATATAATTAATTTGGTGTGATTAAAAAAATTTAATTACTAATTAGTTATCCTAATATTAAGATAGTTAGCATAATATACAATTTTTTTTTTTTTAAGTTCAACACACAAAAATCTATTAAAATTAAAAGGGTAAGTAAGTAAATTTATAACAATTTATTCTGATTCTAAAAATAAATAAACACATAAATAAGATTAAGACTGCTTCTGACTCTAATTTTTTAAAATTTAAATAAACAACTTATTCTAACTCTAATTCCTATCGAATCCGTATAAATAAACATGCCGCTAATATGCTTTATATCTGATCAATCATTTGAACAGGCATCGTTGACTTTTTTTGTCACAATACCAACGTTGACGGGCCACTCTGAGAAGGCCTGTTTTTGCTCATTGGGCTTGGCGGCCCAGAAAAGCCCAATCTATAAGGAAGAAAGGGCCCGATTTACCGGGGCAGGAGATTTGGATACTTTCTCTCTCGACTTCTTCACTCGTGTCGTCTTCTCCTTCTTCTTCTTCGTCTCGCTCACTCTGATCTCCATGGCAATGGATCGCGCACAGATTCTTCTGATAGGGTTACCTCTTTTTCTCTTCGTCACCGATCTCATAAGCCTCTTCACGCCACCTCCCAAACCTCCTCACCACCGCCACCACCATCCGCCTCACCACCACCATCCTCCTCATCACCACCACCCAGTCCCACAGCATCCGCAATCTTCAGTTTCCACAGAAACCCTAGAGTTTCCCTCTCAGGTAATTTTACCGAATCTCAGGTCTTATTGAAATAGAATTATTCGATTCTTCTTCTTCGACCTTGTTTTTGTTTATAATATATCTTCTTTTGAATTTCAGAAGGAAAGAGGTGTCGTCGGCGGAATCGGCCTTGGTAACAAGATCGACATCAGTTTCTGTTCGTCCTGCTCGTACAAGTATTTCTCGAATTCTATATGTTTTTCTTTGTCTTTATTTCTTTTGTTCCTTTTCTTGATTGGCAGTTGATGGTGGGTTTTGTGTGGTTCTTGGATTTGGGGTTTGATTTGGATATGTACTTTTGTATTTGCAGTAGGGATTCGAAAGTTATAATTTTTAGTAATAAATTTGGTTTCTTTGTTTTGGTTCGTGTTTAATTCACCTGGAAATTGGAACAATTGATTTATTAAGCAGAAGGAGATTGTTGGGCGAAAAAAAAAAATTGAACAAACGAGAGAAGTGTTAAGAGAAATTATTTGGTTTAATCTATCTGAGGCAGTATCTAGCGATAGTGCACATTTCTTAGAGTTAATCATTATGAAAAAGTGAACATTACCAAACTTTGACAAAATAATATGAAAATTCAAAGCTCAGAAACATTATCAAACTTAAACATTCATTAATGGAAGAAATCTTTGTTTTCTTATCCTACTACAGAATCCTTGGAACCATTAAGTTGCTGCTAGCTTTGGGGCTAGTTGCAGAATGTTTTAAGCTCCGTTCTAGTGGTGGAAAATAAGCTGGGGTGACCATTTTTGCTAGTTCAACTTTTTCCTTTTGTTTTCTCTCTCTTGCCCATATTTTATTTTCGTATTGGGTTTGAGATGTAATTTATAATTGCACATTCTTCTATTCATCAAAACTAGATACAATTGTTGATTTCATACTTTCATATCTCTCTTCGTTTTTAGGGGAACTGCTCTTACAATGAAGAAGCTGTTGGAGACTGCTTTTCCCGGGGTTGATGTTGTTCTTGCAAATCATCCCCCAACTTTCCCAAAGCGTTTAATAAGCAAATTGGTCCCC